TAAGTCAATCGGATGATAACATAAGCCTCTGGAGTGTCACAAGATTTTTCAAAGTGATCAAGGGCCATAACTTTGGCAGTAATTATCGGAAATTGTTGAAAATCAATAGGATTCTTCGTCTCATGCTCTCAAACACAACGTATAAATTTAAAGTCAATCGAATATTAACTGTAGCCTCTAGATCGTCCACAAGATTTTTTAAAGCGACCAAGGGCCATAACCCTGTCAGTAATTATCGGAAATCACTGAAAATCAATAGGCTTCTTCGTCTTATGACCTTAAATATTGTTTATAAATTTAAAGTCAATCGGTTATTAACTTTAGCCTCTAGAGCGTCCACAAGATATTTAGAAGTGATCAAGGACCATAACTCTGGCAGTCATTATCGGAAATCGCTCAAATTCAATAGGATTCTTCGTCTCATGACCTTAAACACTGTGTATAAAACTTTACCCTCTAGACGGACGGACGGACGGGGGCGACGACAATATACGACCACATTTCAATCTGGGTGTATAAATATTAATACACCGACAATAAGATAATTCAGATGTCGGACTTTTTAATTGATAATTTTTTGTTGAATTTGGAGGGGAAATATCCCCATGGGCACCAACTGTGCATCTTTGCTTGCTGATTTGTTTCTATATTATTACGATTAGTCAGATATTTTAATTTCACTTATCGATGTAGAATTCATATATCTTGATGATATAAAATTAAAAATACTACTGACAGTGACAATTACGCTTCCTACTTGGATCTGCGTCTCGATTTTGACAATTGCCATGAACTGAGGGTTAAATGTTCGATAAACGTGATGACTTTGACTTTCCGATTGTTAACTTTCCATTAATTAGTAGTAACAGTCCAATATCACCAGCTTACGGAGTCTATGCGTCTCAGCGTTTTCGCTACGCGAGAGCTTGTTCCTTTTATTCTGATTTTTTAACTAGATCGAGGCATTTGTCACCTAAGCGTCAACTACAGGGATACTTGCCCACTAAACTTACAAAAACCTTTTAAAAAAGTTTTATTGCCGTCATATTGACTTGATTCGTAAATAATAACATGTCCCTTTCGGCTATTATTCTAGATATATACTAAACAGCAAAAAAAAACAAAAAAAAAACATCAGTACGATTTCAAAATCAGAGAGGCACTTTAATCAAATCATTCTAGAAAACGACTTACTAAATGGTTCAAAGCAATTTTTTGTAACAGTATGTTTACACATTAATGATTAATTCACCACAACTCCAAGACATTACGAGAAGTTTTAGAGCCTGTACACAGTCTATACATCAGTATCTGGTGTGTCCACCGCGAGTGTCAAAAACAGCAGCGCAGCGTCTGTACATGGAGTGGACCAGACGATTGATGAACACCATTGGCACCTGGAACCACACTCTCAGAAAAGTCTGGCGCAATTCATCGGCTCTGTTTGGTCTCGGTACGACGTTATTAAGCAAGTTTCCTCTGAATTTCACCCCAAAGATGTTCAATCGGGTTTAAGTCCGAACTAAGGGCTGGCCAGTGCATAACGTTGACACCGTTCTGCTGTAAAAAGTGCTGGAAAATGTTGTATGACGTGGGGTCTGAGAGCTTGATCGATCTAGCGCACTGCTGTGATGCCTCCTCCTCTCCCTGGACCAAGAGTTTGGAACACCACAGGACCCACTCTCTGGTTAAGGCCGATTCCACCTTAAACCATTATTCTTGAACCTCCCTATGAGTCTCGTTCCATGACACATTGGTCAGAAAAACGCTGGCCACGTAGACGCCATATTCTGTGCCTGCCATCTGCAGTTGCTACGCAATACCGACTCTCATCTGTGAACAGAACAGTTCTCCATTGCCTGTGTCGCCAGTTCTGGTGTTATTGGGAAAATTGTGGACGTTCACGTCGGTGGCGAAGGGTGAGGATTGGTTCACGGTAAGGTCTACGGCAATGGATGTTCTCTTTGGTGAGACGTCGGTGCACTGATGGGTCTTCCGTGTGTTCCTATTGTCTAACTTGCTGTCTCAGATGCCTGTTGTCGCACAACATGGCAGTCTTGTCGCCTTGTGGTAACCCTTGATCTACCAGTTCGAGGGCGATCATCCGTGGTGTTGCTGAAGCCTGAAGATGGTCCGAACATTAACCTGGAAGTGATTGGCAACGGCTTGGGCAGTGTGGCCAGTGTTGAGTTTTCCTAGCGCCTGGTTCCTCTGAGCTGTCGTGGATGATTCAACCAGGTATGGGGTGCATTTTATAGGGCTGGTCCTGGTGAACAACACGTGCAGCATGAGTTACATGAAAATCATAGAGAACACATTACCATCTCAGAAGTCAGTTTTCGTTTTTGAGAACATTTCCTGGGTTCAATTCTGTGGTTGGGAAGGCGCCCTATTGCTCAGTTAAAGTTGGAGATGTGGTCACAAATATACAATAAAAACATTTGGCAAGTTTTATGCAATGCGTCTATTCAGAGTAACATGTACCGACCTGACGTTTCTTTTGCTGTTTAGTATATTTAATTGACGCGTATACTCTCTTCCTGAATATGTCTACTGCATATCATTTGCATTTTGCATACGGATGTTCCATTGGCTAATTACGCTATTTTACTAAGATTTCGTCTAATGGTTTGGATGCAGCTATGGCGGGTGTGGTGCCAGGTAGGGTAAGCTTACTATTCCAGACACCTGTTACCACTGTTTGTCGTGTATTTTGTAAACGATGAACAGTCCATTTGCTAACTCGTTCAAACGAGATACCAACTCGTTCAAACGAGATACTAACTCTTTCAAACGGATTTTGTAGTACCAAAAAAAAAAAAAAAAAAAATAATAATTCGTTCAAACGAGATAATTAATTCGTTCAAATGAGATACTATACTAACTCGTTCAAACGAGATACTAATTCGTTCAAACGAGATAATTAATTCGCTCAAAAGTGATACTAACTCGTTCAAACGAGATACTAACGCATTCAAACGAGATACTAACTTGTTCAAGCGAGATACTAACTCTTTCAAACGAGATACTAACTCGTTCAAACGAGATACTAACTCGTTCAAACGAGATACTAACTCGTTCAAACGAGATACTAACTCGTTCAAACGGAATAATATTTTTGTTTTGTTTTGCACTCTTGGACCTTCGTATGAATATTATTGACGTGCAAGTTAAACGTGTCATGACTCAACCACCAATCAATAATAATTTTGTTTATTACGATCCACTTCTGTTAACGAAAAGCATTGAAATTATATTTGTTCAAACTTGTTGATTTTGTATATCAATAATGGGATGAAATTTTTAAATAAAGAACGAAACCATTAAATGGAAATAAAAGAAAAGATATAACAGGTGTTTGCAACAAATGAACCTAACATATCGTTAGCGGTTGGAAAGTAGATAACCCTTCCAACTCCATGTTACGAATACATGTACAAATATAGGAGCGAAACCGCAGTGCCAAAACTTATGACCTAAAGCTTAAATATACACAAACTTTAATTTTTAAAATTTGTACATTTTAGTGTGTGGAATGCCACTGCCCTATAAAGAGCTTGGGTATTTACCAATTTTTGTTGCACTTCTATTCTTCAATAATTGCTTTGATGTACATATACACATGTTAGAAAATTAATTTTTCTTCCCTTTTGGAGAAAAAACTTCTCAGTACATTGTAAAAATTATTACCTTCATAAACATTCACATATCAAATTAAATCATTGAACATCCTTTTCTGTGGATTGCGGTAAGATTCACGGATTATCAAATTATTATCTTTTTGTTATAAAAACAAACAGATAAGTAGCTCCGAATGCTAGTGTTTAATCCCATGGTGATATGTAAAGTGATGTATAAATCTCTGACTGACGTTTATTTTATTCTATTCACGCCAAGGTTTCAATCAAATCTACTTCTTTATTTCCCTGACTTATACAGCCAATCTTCTTGAAAGGAGGGATACTAAAATTCCACAAATTAGTATTGATTGCTACGCACAATTGACATTTATGTTATCCAAAAATCCTCAAATTGGTTACAAACTAAATAAAATATCCCACCCAGAGCAGTTTTATTATCGACAAATGTACAAAGTATGAATATTGACGTGGATCTTGAGTTATTATTATAAACCCGCTGTCTAGGACAAATTTAGTGTCACGTTCACAGAATGCCTGTTTGGTCAAATCCTGGGTAATAATTCAGTAGAACACGAACACTTGTATTAACAGAATAATTAAAAAAAAAGAAATCATTAATGGACAATGAATTTGATTATCCCTCTAAGATCGATAGTATTATATTTTATGCACACGAGTGAGACATCTAATTCATGAGAAACGCGAATAAAGTCTTCTGTTATTTAGCGTATTATTCATCTAGACTGGCATATATACCAAAAGTGTAATATTTTTATACAAAAATATGAGTATGTGTTGTGGGTAGTAAAACATAATTTCTAGATAAGGTTACTTAGTGAACAATATTTGGTTAGTTATAGCTGGATAAGGCCAAAACAATCACCGGTTGATTTTTTAAAATACTTATTAGATACCAAACTAACATCTGTTATTAATTTTAGAGAGTAAATTTTAAGCACCCCCACCATCACCTTTTAATGTAACAGCATGCCCGGACAAAGGAGAAAATAAGTACAGCTAATAAGGTATCGCCAATGCTTATTATTGGCATGATTGATATCAGACAGTTCTATTTGTAGTGGCTTCATAAAATAGACTTTTTATTTTTAACTTGGATTTCACAGGATTCTAGCTATTCCAGACAATATCACAATCGGCAGTGGTGTGGTTATGTAATTTCTTATACGGGATTCGAATCTTCACTGGAGATATACACAAAATTCGTCTCAAAGACACATAAAATAATTTTATGCCGAATAGCAACAGCCTCTGTCGTTATTAACTAATTATTTTTAAAATTAAGAGAAATACTAGTATATAATTACTAAAATTAAAGTTATGTAATTGTTAAATACTTACATGTTTCTACTTTTTTATTATGTTCTGGTGGCAATATCATCAATGTTTCTACACCTTCCGGTACACTAGATAGAGGTACCTTTTCTACTCGTACCAATTTACATATACCTTCTTTCTCCAATGTTTTATATAGACACAGTTTCGTATTGTTTAATGTAAAGAAACAGCCACTCTTTTCTACCACTTGGAGGTGGGGATATTCACCTCTTTTCTGCATTTTCTTGTAATTTTCAACGGTAGTGGGGTCGGGTTTCATTTGTGATGAGTCAAGTACCTCTTCACATCCAGTATACCGGATCTTTGAAGGTGGAAGATACATGATACCAGGTGATGGAACAACAGGGTCACACACAAACAATATTACAATCAATGTTCACTGTCAATGTACGCAACTTCCAGATTATGCTTGTCCATATCCCATTCTACATGTCCCGGATGTTAGATCGTCTGCTTCGTGTTACAAAGCCTTTCTGAAAAATTAGAAAATTCTGTTCAGTATTGTGAAGCAGCGCGGAACAAAGGGGAGAAAATATTTGAGCAAGTATTGATTTAATCGCCGGGGCCTGAGCTTCCATCTTTCAATGAGACCAAATACGACATGGTGGCTGTTATCCCACGCAATGGTTGGAGCCTGTATAATCAACACACTTAATTCATACATGTTACTCTCAGTCGGAAAGCCAGTTCAGCTGACAATTTCTGACACATTAAGCATGATTGACAAGCTGTCAACTACAGATATGGCTGCTGAAAAGTACCATTTGAGCTGTAATGCTGCTGTTTAATAAATGTGCTAACAGCGCGGATTTCCACAATTCCATAATTATACTGAGAGAATAAAAATGACACAACAAATCCTTCACCCCAAAAATTCCAGAACGTTAAAAAAAAAAAGAGCTTCAAGAGTGTTAGAACAATAGGACAGGACCTTCGTTATCAGACAACATTTTCTACTAATGAACACAATTTGATTGATCTGAGAATGGATTTTCCCGACATGAATGGAGGCAAATGAGGGTGAAAACAAATTAATGCGCATTATAACTATTGTTCTCAATGGAATCCGGCGCTTTGTAAATGTAATTGTCTGGACAGGGAAAATTAAACTTAAGCTCCTAGTTTTGGTTCAGATTGTTTAGTATTTAGTTCGGTCGTTACAATTAGTATCCAATGTATATGTATAGTCGAAACTCTAAATTTATCAGAAGTTTTGAAAATTCTATGAATTGGTAACCTCGTCCATAACATAAAAGAGAAAAACGAAGCATTTTATTTAATAGGTTAATGTTTTTAAAATGTGCCCCAAATGTTAGATTCACGTGATCATGTCTTTGATGAACACATCAATAAAATTAAATGTTTCACATAGATCTTCTTCAATGAAAATACAAAGCGATAACCTGTGGAAGTTGACATGGCATGAAATGAAATGTTGTTTAATGTCCAACTTTTCTGTTCCAATGCGGCAACTGAATTAGGCAAAATGAACCTACTCTTCATCGAGGTTTCTAAACGGAACATCTGTTTTTTGTCCATCCGAACGACTAGGTAATTTTCCTCGTCAGGAAAACCACTCTGGAAATCCCGAGGAATTTTCTCAGCGAACGCTATAGTATGAGTTGTGTACTTAATAAAGTCGTTCTATGACAGTGTTTATTGATAGATGGCATCTTCATTTAAACGAATTTATTTTCATTATCCTTAATTTTATATTCGAGTTCTCAATGTTATTAGAGCATAAAAAAACATATTGAAGTTAGCACTAACTTCCCCCAAAACGGATATCAACACAGACAACCTAAGACACCAAAGCTAATAGCAGAGCCATTTACAACGTATTCAAAAGCAAATTCAAAGACTTTACCTATTTGATCTGACAAATGATGACAAATAGTTCTTAACAGCTGGAAACTTTTGCAACTTAAAATATAATTATTCGGTAAATGTCTCTGTATAGGTTGATTTACTGAATACCACAGGGGGTGGGGCACAGAATAAACAACTACTGATCAGATCTAGCTGTTGTTAGAATAATAAAGGTCAAAACAAATGCCATTATTTTGACGCGCTTTTGTGACCTTAGAATTGCAATAAAAACCTAATCGGAAAATGCTTTTGAGAAAACAAAAATCCTATCAAACTGCTACTAAATCTTATTCAGAAAGATTCATAGATTTATAAAACGTTCATACAAAATTTACAAAACGATCATACATATACAAAACCTTCATAGATATACAAAACGTTCATAAATATACAAAACATACAAAACGTTCATAAATATACAAAACGTTCATAAATATACAAAACTTTCATAAATATACCGATCCTTTATATAATTTACAACATAGTTGTATTTAAAGCAAGAATTTAAGTTTACTCAATCAATCAATGCGAAGGAAAGCAAACAATCTACGTCAGCACATTAAACCTACGTCAGCAATAAAAAAAATATATATAATTCAAAGGAAATTAAATCTATAGTTGCTCATTTCCAAAATAGTTTATATACATTTGTCCAGTCAACCAAGAATGCTAAAATATTTACGATCTATAATGTACCGAACAATTTACTTTTCAGAGAAACATCAAACATGGGGTAACTTGGCTTCTATTATTGTCTATATACAACAAAAATAATCGACAAAAACAAACACTATTTTAAAAAATCTAAAATAAATGTGATATCAATATATTAAATTAAAAAAAAATAGAGTCGATTCCGTGACATAAGCGGCAAGATCTGGCATAAAGATAAAAAAATTCTTCCATTTTAGATTACACATCAGTGACTGAAACATGTTTCGTTCCAAGATTTCATATACCCCTGGGCTGGATGTACAGAGATATGAAGTTTCTTTACCCATCACGATTCTTTTCCCAAGATACATGGACGCGAGATTGTTGGTTTAATTCCCGGCTATATAATTCATTGGTGACTTTGTGTAGGAGATTGGTATATATAGATAATAACCATATAAAGATACTATGGGCAGAGCAATAAATCACGAAGCTCGGTGATTACATTTTGTCTAGAGACAGGCTTTAATAGGATCAACAAATAATAAGGGATAGAAAATATCGACTCTCTAATAGTATATAAGGTTTTATAGCGCCTTTTAAAAATGTGAACTCATTAATAATGTTGTTTTGAGATCACTATAAATTGTACCACAGCTTAGTGGGCGAATCTTTTATCGCGGCCTATCAAAACATTAATAGGATCTTGTCTGCGTGAACAAAAATCCGCCTTAGTACACCAAAGGTAAGATCTAAGTTTGTTTCCAAATAGGAACCTAGCCTACTGCGTTTTATGATTGTTCTTAACGGGCAAATAAGACATATTTGATTACTGAAATGTTGTTTCCAAAAGAAAGAAAACGCACTCTCTTCTTGTAGTAACATGGTAAATAGAAAATATTACAATGGTGGATTCTTTTAGAATGCTGAAATGAATCTTCCATGTTAAAGTGAGTAAGTCCACACTGGAAGTTTGTTTAAAGAATCTTCCTTTACGTCTAAAATAAATTTCTGTAAAGAACTGTAGCACGAGGAACAAAAACTTTTCGGAAAGGATTCAAAATTATGTTTTACGCAATAGTTGATCAAATTATTCCCTTTTTTTAAAAATAATCACAATCTTTCGGCATTCGTTTTAGGGAAGAACAAAGCAGAAAATGTGCATTGCATTTATTTTGATATAATTAACAGAAAACCCACTGGTATGTCTGTTGATCCTTTAAAACCTGATTCTTCAAGTCATTATATAGGGACGACGTGACTTTGATAGAATTCCATACTCGACAAGAAATTCTGGCTTTTTTTGCACCTGTATTTCAATTACAGGATATTTAGATGAGAAAATGAGATAGAGAGAGAAGTAAATTGGAATAATAACACGGGATGTCATTTTCCTTCTTTAATTACAACTGGTTCCTGTGTGCTCTAGTGACTTATCACTTCAGCAGCACAATGCCCCAGGCATTCACCTAATGGAAATGTCAGTAGATTTCTGATGGATACGGCAATTTACCGAAGACAAACTCGGATTCAATTCGTTCATCTTACCAGACGTCTCCGGCTTCAGAAAAATTTGCATATAATATCGCGTAATGACTGTTTCTGATTGCGACTGGTCTTACATTAAATCTCACGTCTTCTATAAGACATAATCAAAGGTATTGGTTTACTACCTTACCGTCCCTAATCTTACATAAATCTCTCCATTCTTAAATTATACCCATGCAAGCATTCAGGATAGGAAATGGAGTAGCAAAATAGAATAGTTTACAATATATTATGCATATACAGTATGTCGATTTTTGTTCTCGTTGCACTTGTTGATCCTATATTGGGGTTGTTTGAAATAGCATCATGGATTCTTTTAAACGTTTGGATGTAACTTTTAGTTACTATCATCAACCGAATAGATTTTCTTTGTTTGTTGTTGTTTCTTTTTAAATAAATAAAATATTAAGGTTTTTGATTAAATATTTTTTTCAATCAAGAAGGTTTTATTCTCCTTTATCAGACGTAATCTAGATTTAGCATTTTAGCTAGGCTTTAAAATTCCATCACAACAACCACTTTGGTTAAGTTAGCATCAGGCAAGGGGCCTCATTATTGATACTCCCCGCACCGGTAGTAGTTATGATTTCAGTGAATGGATCCGGGGGCTAGTCGTAAGCGTCCACTGCGCTGTACAGTCCCGCAACTGAACATTTACCCCTTTTCAAAATTATACCCATTGGCGGTTGTTTTTTATTTCTGTATTAAAACTTGGCACAGACTGTTTTGAAAGGGTCATGCCTCGCCTAGTGCACCACCTAAAAATTTAGATGAAAAGAAATCCCTATCATAAAGTTCTGTTCCATCAAATCTATAATGGAATTATGCAAGTTTGAAATACTATATACATGTCGACTAATCACATGACGCATTTTGAAATGTCACTGCTTACTAAGGTGATATGACATCATTAGTAAGGTCTATCGATTTCCTAGTAAAAACATGTTCTTATCCGATCAACGACTGAAGTCTTTTAATACTTTCAATCTGAATTTAATCAGTCAGATAACATCATATAAAAAAGCAAGATTCAAACCTCTCATTAAAGCGCCTAACATGAGGCATCAACTTTTCTGAGACAGTAAGTCAGCAACATTTTAATTAACTTCCTCCTGGTGACATTTCAAACAATAACTGTTTGTAAACTTGTAGAGAGAGCGGGGGATTAACAAAATCTTTATTCGTTATGCATGGGTCATTAGTAGTAGGAGGATTCCGGTGAACCTATAGAAAACTCACGACTCTTTCTTTGTAACGTACAAGTAATTGTTCGACACCAGTAATGTCACACCACGTTTCTTGACTTTATAATCAACGCCTTTCCCACAGACAGCAATAAAGGGATACTTTGTCTGAAAATGTACCGCGAATAAATTAGATAAATTCTTCAAAACCAAGTAAC